GGCACTGAGGCCAGGGGGAGGGGCTTAGAGAGCAGGGGTGGGGCACTGAAGACAGGGGGAGGGCTAAGAGAGCTGGGGGTGGAGCTTAGAGAGCAGGGGTGGGGCACTGAGTGCAGTGAGAGGGAAGGGCTGAAGTGTCAGATTTGAACATAAACCCAAGTCCAAGACAGTTACATGTGTAACTCCGGTTCTATGAACCCTCAGTGCGTGAAGCGTCAGGATGAAGTAGAACCAGAATCCAAACCTATGGTTTGCACCGTGAGTAAACACTAAAGTCCAGTTTGACTTCACATTTTTGTCCAATTTATTATTATTTTTTTACAAAGATTTCAGTAAAAATAGAGAAACTTCAGTTTTGGCATGAGCCGCGAAAGGCAGAGGTCAGAGGTCGCCCCTGGACCGGTGACGCTAGCTCTTAATGCTGTGTTTGTCATGGGTTCAAATCCTTTGATTTTCTTATCTGCTGCCGGTGAATTGACAACTCTGATTGTGTGACACTCTCTGTGCTTCTGACACTCAGCACCAGGGGGCGGCAGATAAAGAAGCTTCATCTGTTTGTGTTCAAAATGCAAATAGACCTCGGACTCCGTTAGCGATGCGCAGATTAGCATGCTAACAGCTGTCTGTAGCTGTTTCTCATGCTTTCGGTCTTAGCTAACAATGCTGACGGTGCTAGTGATGCTAACGTTGGTTATATACTTTGACCGTAAATCGGCAAAGCTGTAATTTGGAAAAGCCAGAACATCTTTATGGCACAACTTCACAAGAGGAAAAGTAATGACTTCATAAAAACAATGTGAACGAGTGAAACGCTGTGAGGGGCTAATGAGGATGGCGCCATGGTAACCGCCAAACACAAAGAAGCTTCAACGCTTACACCAGACATGGTTCTGTTTCAGAGACTATGAATGAAACACTAACACTTTCCTCTCTCTCTGGTCTCTCTCTCTCTCTGGTCTCTCTCTCTCTCTCTCTGGTCTCTCTCTCTGGTCTCTCTCTCTGGTCTCTCTCTCTCTCTTGTCTCTCTCTCTCTCTGGTCTCTCTCTCTGGTCTCTCTCTCTGGTCTCTCTCTCTGGTAGAAAAGTTGAACATTCTTCTTGGCAAAAAGCACCAAATGTCTCAACAACGAGGGCAATCAGAGCAGTGCTCTGATGGGAAGTGTAGTCCTCAGCAGAAGCAGTGTACCATGGGAGATGGAGTCCTCAGCAGAAGCAGTGCACCATGGGAGATGAAGTCCTCAGCAGAAGCAGTGCACCATGGGAGATGAAGTCCTCAGCAGAAGCAGTGCACCATGGGAAGTGTAGTCCTTGTGAACAGCACCTCAAATGTAAAACTATGACTTATTTTGTGTCAGATGCTGTGATCTGATTGGCCGACGACATTAGCCCTCGTCCAATCAGGTGCAGGATCCAGTGGTCACATGACTTTAGACAACAGCTCCTAAAAACATAGGATCATTATGATGTCATAAGTGATGTCACACAAAGTGATGATGTCACACCTGTCTGCTGGGGGCCGCAGGAGAGGCTGTAGGTCGTCCACATGGAGACGATCATCAGGAAGGAAGTGAGGAACCCAAAGACCTGAACACAAGGTTATTAGTATAGCACATACTGTGTGGTAACAAGGTTATTAGTATAGCACATACTGTGTGGTAACAAGGTTATTAGTATAGCACATACTGTGTGGTAACAAGGTTATTAGTATAGCACACACTGTGTGGTAACAAGGTTATTAGTATAGCACACACTGCTGTGGTAACAAGGTTATTAGTATAGCACACACTGTGTGGTAACAAGGTTATTAGTATAGCACATACTGTGTGGTAACAAGGTTATTAGTATAGCACACACTGCTGTGGTAACAAGGTTATTAGTATAGCACACACTGTGTGGTAACAAGGTTATTAGTATAGCACATACTGTGTGGTAACAAGGTTATTAGTATAGCACATACTGTGTGGTAACAAGGTTATTAGTATAGCACACACTGTGTGGTAACAAGGTTATTAGTATAGCACATACAGTATATACTTATTATCATGGGTCATACCGTGGCGGTGACCAGGGCAGAGACGCCCGCTGCTTTCACGGCGCCCGCAATGGAAGCGATGAGCATCAGGATTGTCCCCATGACGTAATGAAAGAACTCCTGTAAAAGAGTAGAGTTACAGAGTAGCGTTACAAAGTACAGTACACACACACACACACACACAGACACACGTTTTTGTTATCTGGTGGGTCCCTTTGACAGGGCCGTTCAGAATGGGACCCATAGACATAATCTTTTTTACTGGGACTACTTTAAGTAATACAAAACAGTCAATAGAAAACAAACAACTCTTTTAAAGGAATTTTATTTTTGATTTTTTTTTCGAATTGCTGTGATTCTATTTTTGACATAGAACTCCATGTCCGATGTCTAAGGTCATCTGGTGAGGCATTAATGCAGGCCAGGCCAGGCCAGGCCAGGCAGTGAGACTTCCCAGGGACTTTTCCAGTCTGTATGAAAGGCATCATGGTCTTCTCCACAGCCTTCACCTCAGATGCAGACCATGGCTTTCTCTAACGTTCTAGGGAGAAAAATAAAAATATATTAGCAATATACACTCCCAGGGTTAGGACCAAGCAGCCTGGCTGTAATCCCCCACCTGGTACACTTACCAGAAGGGGCACTGCCACTACCATGGGGTGCATCTGGATGAATGGTTGAAGGTTCTCCGCTTGAAGTTTCTTTTAGCCCGTCCGTTTGTGAGAGGATCTCTACTGCTCTCCCTGTCGCACAGAAAATAAAAATACAAGTGGCCTTTAGGGGAAAAAAATTATACATATTTTAATAATATCAAGAATTACCTTCAGGCTCAATTTGTACCTGGTCGAGGCTCTTTCCTTTGAATTCCGTCACTCTTCCCTGCTCCATGGCCATTAACACTTTGCTGATTTTGGCCAGCTCCAGCGCCCCCTCTGGTAGTCTGTAATATTGTCTGTGGATGCGAATGTCATGGCTGAGGAAGTTGGCTAGTATGTCCATTTCATTCTCTTTCATTTTGAGAACTGTAGACATAGTAGCTATGTGCTTTCTAAGTTTGGTTGAGGATAGCATCTCTGGATGCACCGCACCACATTCTTTGGCTACCTGGCGTAGGGAGTCTGATCCCCTGATGTGGGTGTCTGCGCCCGGCCGGGAGAAGAAGTATGGGTTATGGTCAGAGATGGAACAGGCCCTTCTGTTCTCCACCAGCACCTCCATCCAAGCAATCATTTCAGGAGTCAAAAGAAGCACCATTTTCCCACTTCTTTTCCCTTTAATTTCAATGCGTTGAAAATGCTGACACAGATTTTTCTCAAGTTCGGACAGTCCCAGAGCAATGTCAGAATGGATCCCAGTCTTACTTCTTAAGGTAAACGCTGTCAGTGGCATCTTTGAAACCTCACCTTCCCTTCTTCGATTGAAAATAATGACCTCACAAAGAGTCAAAACTGCCAGTTTAGACCAATGCTTAGAGGTTGGCTCACTTATTAGGGTTTGCACATATTCAGGTCGACATACCTCAATATGTGCATGCATGGCTCTAACGTCCTCAGTCAGAGGGAGCAGGTCCGGAGTGTTCCAGTTGGCTTGCCGGAGGGTCTGTAGGGCAGCAGAAGAAAGACAGACGTCCCACCTCTTCTCAAAAAGCAGCCGGCTTCGTTGGAGGTTTTTAATAAATAGTTCATCAACACAATGCTCCATTTTTGAGTCACATTCAAGAATATCTGCTAGCTTTCTGAGGCTATGGCCGAGTTTGAGGGCCAAGGATGGAGTCTTGTATTGATTTGTTTCCTCATCATATCCAGCCACAGACCTGACTGCATCAATCACATGGTTAAAGTTGGAAGGAATAAAGAAATCCTTCATTGTTTTCAGTTTCCCTGCCGTTTTTGCTTCGTTAATTAATAGATAGATAGATAAATGCTTTATTGTCAGATACAAGGATCCGAAATTTGTTTTGCAGTTCAGCAGCTCCGTCAAAATACAAACAAGACATACAGGTATAAGACAATTCACAAAGACATTATAAACAATTGTCCGCTCGCCATAACACACTTTGATTTTATGACTTAAGATCCTCGTTTAGCTTCAGGATGGACTGATGGACAAAGGAGTTCCTCAACCTGACTTTATTAAAATGTGGCACACGGTACCGCCGCCCTGATGGTAACAGCGCATATTCAAGGTTCAGAACATGGCCGGGGTCTGAAGTGATGTTCTTAGCCAGTCGCAGTGTGTTGCTATGGTATGCAGCCTCGTACAGTCCATCCAGGGGCTGTCCTACAATCTTTGAGCAGATCTCCTACCTATAACCTACCGACTTCTCTCATTTTCTGCCTAATGTAATCATGCTTAGTCTTATCATGCCCGTGTTTTAAGTACAGGTGCTCTCCGAGTCTCAGAATCCCCTTTTCTGCTTTGACAACACCCGTGACCTCATCCTGATGCATTGCCCAAATTAAAGAGCACAGCTTTTTGCTGATGCCCTCCGGTACAGGCTGGGCTAGGGAGCAGAGGGACTGGACCCTACTTCTACCTGGTTTAGCCTGGGCATCTTTCTGTGAAAGCCGGCACCTGGCCACATGCCTCCACAGCGACTTTCGCTTAAGCAATGCCCCACAGTCTATACAGTGCAAAAACTCACTGGATTTAACTGGGGAATTTGGCTGTTTAGCTGGGACTAAAGTTCCAATGCCGGCCTTTAAAACCTCAACATTGTGCTCACGGTTTCCATTATTCCTGATCAAAGTGCTTTAGATTTCACAGGTAGAGCCAATGCTCTGGCTACGTCACTTTCATTTCCATGTTTTCTAGTCAAATGACGGGACATTTTGTGGCAGGACATTGAACAGTAGAGGCAGAAGTGCCTCTTGCTGTAAACTCTCCCCCCATTTTTCTTCTTTTGCAGCTGCATGATAACAATCTTATTTGCCTTTGGTTCGTCACTTTCCGAGTCTTGAAGAAAAGTGTTTTTGATTTTTCTTTTTCCATACTTTTTTCCAGGTTTCTTCTTGACAGTTAAATCGTCAGAATCTGAGACGACTTCATCAATTAGGGACTCTTGACTAAGCTGCACAAACAACAAATAATTAGTAATAATTCTATATAACAATTTGAAGTCATAACTTGTAGTCAGCACTTACCAGTGGTTTGTAAGCGTGCGCTTCAGTGTGCTGCTCTGTGATTGGCTGCAGCCTAATGAACCACACACTTGCACCTTTTCTAGCCTGACACCTGACTTCCTCTGTTGTGCTGCTCCATGATTGGCTCCAGCCTCTGTTGTGCTGCTCCATGATTGGCTCCAGCCTGCTGGACTGAAATTGCCCCAGTGTGCCCCTCCTTGATATCCCACAATCCACCACCAGGGTTCCGACACATAGTGTCTTGCGAAAGTATTCGGCCCCCTTGAACCTTTCAACATTTCGCCCCATTTCAGGCTTCAAACATAAAGATATACAATTTTAATTTTTTGTCATGAATCAACAACAAGTGGGACACAATCGTGAAGTGGAACAAAATTTATTGGATAATTTAAAAAAAATTAACAAATAAAAAACTGAAAAGTGGGGTGTGCAATATTATTCGGCCCCTTTACTTTCAGTGCATCAAACTCAGTCCAGAAGTTCAGTGAGGATCTTTGAATGATCCAATGTTGTCCTAAATGACTGATGATGATAAATAGAATGCACCTTTGTGCAATCAAGTCTCCGTATAAAAGCACCTGCTCTTTGATAGTCTCAGGGTTCTGTTTAAAGCGCAGAGAGAACCATGAAGACAAAGGAACACACCAGGCAGGTCCGAGATACTGTTGTGGAGAAGTTTAAAGCCGGATTTGGATACAAAAAGATTTCCCAAGCTTTAAATATCTCAAGGAGCACTGAGCAAGCAATTATATTGAAATGCAAGGAGTATCAGACCACTGCAAATCTACCAAGACCCGGCCGTCCCTCCAAACTTTCATCTCAAACAAGGAGAAGACTGATCAGAGATGCAGTCAAGAGGCCCATGATCACTCTGGATGAACTGCAGATAACTACAGCTGAGGTGGGAGAGTCTGTCCATAGGACAACAATCAGTCGTGCACTGCACAAATCTGGCCTTTATGGAAGAGTGGCAAGAAGAAAGCCATTTCTCAAAGATATCCATAAAAAGTCTGGTTTAAAGTTTGCCACAAGCCACCTGGGAGACACACCAAACATGTGGAAGAAGGTGCTCTGGTCAGATGAAACCAAAATTGAACTTTTTGGCCACAATGCAAAACGATATGTTTGGCATAAAAGCAACACAGCTCATCACCCTGAACACACCATCCCCACTGTCAAACATGGTGGTGGCAGCATCATGGTTTGGGCCTGCTTTTCTTCAGCAGGGACAGGGAAGATGGCTAAAATTGATGGGAAGATGGATGGAGCCAAATACAGGACCATTCTGGAAGAAAACCTGTTGGAGTCTGCAAAAGACCTGAGACTGGGACGGAGATTTATCTTCCAACAGGACAATGATCCAAAACATAAAGCCAAATCTACAATGGAATGGTTCACAAATAGACGTATCCAGGTGTTAGAATGGCCAAGTCGGTTGTGCTCATACCATCCCCCAGTCTTCTCAAAGCACACATCAAGTTTTCTCCAAGGTGTCCAGCAGTAAGAATTATCTGGAACATATCTGGTCCTCTAAACACTTGGAATGCATGTTCCAGTTGCAGTTAGTAGTGTAATATCCAAGCTCATATAAGGGGTCATGTTAGAAACTTGACCACAATCTGTAGTGGCAAGTAAAATTCGATGTCTCTGATCTCCTTATGTATGTCGTCTTTCACGTGTTTACAATTGTGAATTGGCCGGTTGAGTGACACATATGGTCTCCCCTGGCCAATTCATACTAGTCTGTCAAATTTTTTGCACATTCGTGAAATGCTGCTTTTCCGACATGCAAAAGGGCTGGCATCCTTTGATCAATAGAATACAAACTACACTGTCTCCGTTGATAGTAATCCATTCGCACTGTCTTGTTTGGTACTTAGTATGTCGACTAAACGCCCCAGCAACTGTCACTGTCGGGAAGAGGAGTCCCCCTCTCACATGTTTATTACTCTCTTTAATGTAGTGATTAACGGCTTATTAACCGAGCGCGAGGTCTGTAGGAGAAGTGCAGACCGAGCCGTGGCGAGGTTAATAAATGTTTTATTATATAACTCTCGTCTGTGTCTTTACCAATGCTTTTGAGATATTTGTGAAGTGTTCATGACCGACTTGGTTTTGTGTGATACGCGCTGTGGTCAGATTGTCATGGTAACCGGTAATCAGACGGTCCAAGTCATATAATAATGTCCTTTATCTTATTGCTGAAACATACTGATCCTACAGTATTTTCTTGCACAGTATAAACCAGACTGCTTCATGTCTGCGTCAGGTTTTGTTCAACAGTGTGATGGAGGTGAACTCTGAGCCCAAAACAGATTTATTTACTGTATTTCTACATTTGCATGAAGTTAAAGTTAAAGCAGAGTGGTCACGTGGTGCGTCAGTCTCTCCAGGACACGCTGCAGTGAAAACACACATCTGATAATCATGGATGATTATTATGTGTTAGCCTTTACTTTGTCATTTAGACATTAAGCTAATGTAGCTAATGCTAATACAGCTTCAGTCTGTGTTGGGATAACGTATATTACGCAGGTCATTATCGGAAAATAATAATACTTATTATTGTAAATTTCTCCTATGTGAGTTAAATAAAGCACATCTTATCTTATCTTATCTCACACGGCTCCAGACACATGTTTTCTCAGTTTTTTGTCAAATATGGCTCTTTGAACCTTTTGAGTTGCCGACGCCTGGTATAAACAAATTGTAAAAACATGAAAAAACAAGCCTGGGCCGCAAATGTCCCAGTCCAGCCTTGTGTCGAGATGGGATCGAACCCACGACCTTCAGGCCCAAAGGCCAATGCTCTACCAACTCTATTATCATTATTATTATTATTTTTATGTTGTTATTATTATTATTATTATTATTATTATTATTATGATTATTATTATGTTGTTATTAATGTTATTATTATGATTGTTTCGGTGACTTTGATAAGCCGGTGAGTCTCTGATGAACTGTTATTAATATAATGTTAAAGTTATAATTTATATATTATGTATTTTATCATATTACTAAATAATACTGACGTCACAGACAGAGAGCCGCGTGCGTTAGGCCCGTGCTGTGGAACAGGATTATAATATATATAATCCTGTATATATATATATATATATGAATTTATATACTGTAAATTAAAAAAAATATATATATATATATATATATATATATATATATATATATATATATATATATATATATATATATATATATATATATATATACATATATATATATATATACATATATATATATATATATATATATATATATATATATATATATATATATATATATATATATATATATATATATATATATATATATATATATATATATATATATATATATGTTTGAACGCCTCCGTTTGTTTCAAACACGTTGTTATTCCGGACCAAAGCTCCGTAACCGCCGCTGTGGAGCCCGCGGGGACCGGAGCCCTGGGGGACCGGAGCCCGCGGGGACCGGAGCCCTGGGGGACCGGAGCCCGCGGGGACCGGAGCCCTGGGGGACCGGAGCCCTGGGGGACCGGAGCCCTGGGGGACCGGAGCCCGCGGGGACCGGAGCCCTCTGGACGCTAGCTCTGTGTATAACAGACAAATGTGTGTCTTTCATTGTGAACATTATTCATGGTCAAAAAAATGAAACAATGATAAAATAAAACAATGTTTTAATAATGTTTAGATTCTGAAAGATAAACATAATGTTCATGTTTTAAAACAGTTTTAACTTAAACTATTTTAATCAATCTGTTTTAACTTCTGTAATAAACTATTATTATTAATAATAATCTGTTTTAACTTTTGTAATTAACTATTATTAATAATAATAATCTGTTTTAACTTCTGTAATTAACTATTATTAATAATAATATTTGTTTCGAACTAAACGTTATTTATTCTGTGTCACGTGCTTCTTTTATAACAGTTTACTATAGTGCTGCTGCTGGTACCGGACCATGGGTCTGTGGACCATGGGTCTGTTATACCGACTGGAACGTGGGTGTCAGTGTCTCTCTTACCGTGACCGTAACCGCCCCGTGTGCCTGTCTCTCTCCGTTTCCGTGCGTCTCTCTGTTTCCGTGCGTCTCTCTGTTCCCGTGCGTCTCTCTGTTACCGTGTGTCTCTCCGTTACCGTGTCTCTCTGTTACCATGTGTCTCTCCGTTACCGTGTGTCCTTCTGTTACCGTGTGTCTCTCCGTTACCGTGTGTCTGTCTGTTACCGTGCGTCTCTCTGTTACCGTGTGTCTCTCCGTTACCGTGTGTCTATCTGTTACCATGTGTCTCTCCGTTACCGTGTGTCTCTCTGTTACCGTGTGTCTCTCCGTTACTGTGTGTCTCTCTGTTACCGTGCGTCTCTCTGTTCCCGTGCGTCTCTCTGTTACCGTGTGTCTCTCCGTTCCCGTGCGTCTCTCCGTTACCGTGTGTCTCTCTGTTACCGTGCGTCTCTCTGTTACCGTGTGTCTCTCCGTTACCGTGCGTCTCTCCGTTACCGTGTGTCTCTCTGTTACCGTGCGTCTCTCTGTTACCGTGTGTCTCTCCGTTACCGTGCGTCTCTCCGTTACCGTGTGTCTCTCCGTTACCGTGCGTCTTTCTGTTACCGTGTGTCTCTCCGTTACCGTGACTAATGGCCCCGGTCCCTATGTCCGCAGGAGGATGTTCCCGACCATCCGTGTGTCCTTCTCCGGTGTGGAGCAGGAGTCCCGGTACATCGTGCTCATGGACATAGTTCCGGTGGATAACAAACGGTACCGGTACGCGTACCACCGGTCATCATGGCTAGTGGCGGGAAAGGCAGACCCCCCGCTGCCCGCAAGGTGAGAGAGACCAGAGACCAGAGACCAGAGAGACCAGAGAGACCAGAGAGAGAGACCAGAGCAGAGACCAGAGAGAGACCAGAGAGAGACCAGAGACCAGAGAGACCAGAGAGACCAAAGAGAGAGACCAGAGACCAGAGAGACCAAGAGACCAGAGACCAGAGAGACCAGAGAGACCAGAGAGAGAGAGACCAGAGACCAGAGAGAGACGAGGTGCCTCGGTTCACGGTGAAACTGACGCGCGGCCTCTGACGCACAAACAAACTATTTATTTATGATAAATAATGATAATAATAATAATAATAATAATAATAATAATAATACATAAAGTCACGCATCTGCGTCTGCGCACGTGCGAGTGAATGTGTGTCTCTTGACCACGTGTAATAAATAAATATCACTTTATTTCATGACTTCCCGACTTCACTGCTCCACCGGACCATTTATAATGATAATAATAATAATAATAATAATAATAATAATAATAATAATAATAATAACACATATTATTAATAATAATTATTATCATTATTGCAAAACAATAATAATAATAATTATAATTATAACACAAGTTGACAGCCAAAACATGCTCAGGGGTTTCTCAGCTGCTTCATAATGTTGGTGTCCTGAGTCTGAATATCACATGCATTTGTCTCTATCAGGTCAACTTTGTGAGATACAGCCATAGTGTTACGGATTACGTCTACGTCAGGGGTGGCCAACCAGTCAGAGACTAAGAGCCAATTTTTTTTACTGTGTTACAGCAAAGAGCCACATCATACAAATGTGCACTACATAAACATCACCCCAACCCTTACACGCACACGCGCACGTACGCACACGAGCAGACACGCGCACACACATGCAATCTGTCTGAGCAGAGAGAGGTGTGCTCTGCTCAGACAGATTTATTGTAAATGTCATCAACATGATAATGACAGAAATTGACTCGTACAGTACTAAAGGGCTGGACTCGACTCTCCCTGGTTTGTGGGCGCTTCCACCGCTCGCTTCAACCGCTCCCCGGTACTTTTTATTAATGGTTTGGCCCTGGTTCTAACCGGGCGAGTCGATACCAGAACAATTTCACGTCAGCGAACATCAATTATGATTCCGAAATGAATGCTTTCAATCTCTAACCAAGAAAAAAAAATCAAGTTTCAACCCAGTGTTCAGCAGAAACACAACTGTCTTTAGTAAAAGATATAGATGTGACACATAACACCAACACCACTTTAGCTGATTTAGAACCACAGACACATGTTCAGTATAAGACCAGATACTTTTGCATTTGATTGAAGACAGACACTCACCAGGCAGAGTTGGCTTATCTCCTGGTGTAATGCTAGTTGTTGTTAGCTGGTTTTAGCATGTTAGCCGGTGTTAGCCGATGTCCGTAAATGTAATCCATTTGGTCAAACCACCTCCAGACTTTTCGGGTCTGCCTCTACTTCTGCTGCTGCGATCTTTCATTTCACGGTTGTCACTTTTAAGCTTTTTAACTTTTCTCTGCATTGTCATGTTTGTGGGAATCATTCTGCTCCGTCCTTAGTGCTAGCTCCACAAACACCTTCTGGTTTCTGGTGGAACCAGCGAGATCAGGCTGGTGTCCTCTCCTCAAACTGAGGAAGGTGTTGCCCTCATCCAGCGACCAAGGAATTGTTTTCCGTACGGACGTCATGGTTCGAGGCAACGTGTTGTTTGTTATGATATTTGCTACAGCTGAGGTAGCAGCTGCAGAGTGATTGACAGCGCATCTGACCAATCAGAATTGACGTTCGCCGACGTCAGATTGTTTTGGTGGCCTGGCTAGTGGAGTGAAGTCGGCCTTTACTATTGGTCAGAACTACATATGGAATGAAAGGCAGCGCCACCACCGAGGCGTTTTTGACGCTTGTCGAGTGAAAGCCCGAGAGCCGCACGGAACCAGCCAAAGAGCCGCATGCGGCTCACGAGCCGCGGGTTGGCCACCCCTGGTCTACGTTATCAAATTTGATGGAGTAAATAAAAACTGAATGACTTTGGATACGTTGACTTTTATTTCTTGAGGAAAACGGAAAAAAGTCAAGTGTTTCTCAGCTGATGATCCGCAGAAATTTGTTATTTACGCAAAATAGATTAAAAAAAATATTTCTGTAGCAAAAAATCCAGACCTGATTGAGCAAAACCAAGGTCATTTTCTCAGAGCATCAACATTAGTCTAATTCAGCTGAAAACCCTGGACTATTTTCAACAAATATGTTTTTGTTAACCAGTGTAATTATCATTATTAATAATAATAATAATAATTGCAAAACAATAAAAATAATAATTATAATTATAAAACAACAATCATAATTATTATTATTATAACCAACTACAAAACAACAACAACAATAATAATAATTAAAAAGACCATAATAATAATAATAACAAGAATAATAATACAAATTAAAAAACAGGATCAGTGTTAATTATGATCTGATGCACGTGACCTGTAGGCGCGCGTGTCTGATGCACGCGCTCATGTCAGGCTCACGAACAGCTCTATAGTTTAGTATTGCATATGTTCATGTTTCTATTCTTTAAAATATGAACTGAGTCTGAAATGAAGAAGAAAAATGATAATGTGAGACGGTTTTAAAGTCTTTACGAGGCTTTTGTTGTTGTTAGTGGAGGCCTCACTATGAACAAGCGACATCTGCGCATGCGCGGCGAACAAAGCCTCATAAAGTTGCGAAGCAAATCAGACACACACACACACACACGTTTTTGTTACCTGGTGGGTCCCTTTGACAGGGCCGTTCAGAATGGGACCCATAGACATAATCTTTTTTTACTGGGACTACTTTAAGTAATACAAAACAGTCAATAGAAACCAAACAACTCTTTTAAAGGAATTTTATTTTAGATTTTTTTTTCGAATTGCAGTGATTCTATTTTTGACATAGAATTTAATGCCACTCCATGTCCGATGTCTAAGGTCATCTGGTGAGGCATTAATGCAGGCCAGGCAGTGAGACTTCCCAGGGACTTTTCCAGTCTGTATGAAAGGCGTCATGGTCTTCTCCACAGCCTTCACCTCAGATGCAGACCATGGCTTTCTTACACGTTCCAGGGAGAGAAATAAAAATATATTAGCAATATACACTCCCAGGGTTAGGACCAAGCAGCCTGGCTGTAGTCCCCCACCTGGTACACTTACCAGAAGGGGCACTGCCACTACCATGGGGTGCATCTGGATGAATGGTTGAAGGTTCTCCGCTTGAAGTTTCTTTTAGCCCGTCCGTTTGTGAGAGGATCTCTACTGCTCTCCCTGTCGCACAGAAAATAAAAATACAAGTGGCCTTTAGGGGAAAAAAAATCATACATATTTTAATAATATCAAGAATTACCTTCAGGCTCAATTTGTATCTGGTCGAGGCTCTTTCCTTTGAATTCCGTCACTCTTCCCTGCTCCATGGCCATTAACACTTTGCTGATTTTGGCCAGCTCCAGTGTCCCCTCTGGTAGTCTGTAATATTGCCTGTGGATGCGAATGTCATGGCCGAGGAAGTTGGCTAGTATGTCCATTTCATTCTCTTTCATATTGAGAACTGTAGACATAGTAGCTATGTGCTTTCTAAGTTTGGTTGAGGATAGCATCTCTGGATGCACCGCACCACATTCTTTGGCTACCTGCCGTAGGGAGTCTGATCCCCTGATGTGGGTGTCTGCGCCCGGGCGGGAAAAGAAGTATGGGTTATGGTCAGAGATGGAACAGGCCCTTCTGTTCTCCACCAGCACCTCCATCGAAGCAGTCATTTCAGGAGTCAAAAGAACCGGCACTTTCCGACTTCTTTTCCCTTTAATTTCAATGCGTTGAAAATGCTGACACAGCTTTTTCTCAAGTTGGGACAGTCCCAGAGCAATGTCAGAATGGATCCCAGTCTTACTTCTTAAGGTAAAGGTTGTCAGTGGCATCTTTGAAACCTCACCTTCCCTTCTTCGATTGAAAATAATGACCTCACAAAGAGTCAAAACTGCCAGTTTAGACCAATGCTTAGACGTTGGCTCACTTATTAGGGTTTGCGCATATTCAGGTCGACATACCTCAATATGTGCATGCATGGCTCTAACGTCCTCAGTCAGAGGGAGCAGGTCCGGAGTGTTCCACTTGGCTTGCCAGAGGGTCTGTAGGGCAGCAGAAGAAACACAGACGTCCCACCTCTTCTCAAAAAGCAGCCGGCTTCGTTGGAGGTTTTTAATAAATAGTTCATCAACACAATGCTCCATTTTTGAGTCACATTCAAGAATATCTGCTTTCTGAGGCTATGGCCGAGTTTGAGGGCCAAGGATGGAGTCTTGTATTGATTTGTTTCCTCATCATATCCAGCCACAGACCTGACTGCATCAATCACATGGTTAAAGTTGGAAGGAAAAAAGAAATCCTTAATTGTTTTCAGTTTCCCTGCGGTTTTTGCTTCGTTAATTAACCTACCGACTTCTCTCATTTTCTGCCTAATGTAATCATGCTTAGTCTTATCATGCCCGTGTTTTAAGTACAGGTGCTCTCCGAGTCTCAGAATCCCCTTTTCTGCTTTGACAACACCCGTGACCTCATCCTGATGCATTGCCGAAATTAAAGACCACAGCTTTTTGTTGATGCCCTCCGGTACAGGCTGGGCTAGGGAGCAGAGGGACTGGACCCTACTTCTACCTGGTTTAGCCTGGGCATCTTTCTGTGAAAGCCGGCACCTGGCCACATGCCTCCACAGCGACTTTCGCTTAAGCAATGCCCCACAGTCTATACAGTGCAAAAACTCACTGGATTTAACTGGGGAATTTGGCTGTTTAGCTGGGACTAAAGTTCCAATGCCGGCCTTTAAAACCTCAAAATTGTGCTCACGGTTTCCACTATTCCTGATCAAATCAAACTGAAGTTTACGTGCTTTAGATTTCACAGGTAGAGCCAATGCTCTGGCTACGTCACTTTCATTTCCATGTTTTCTAGTCAAATGACGGGACATTTTGTGGCAGGACATT